TGAGTTCCCTTCCAACCCAAGCCATTCTGTAATTCTGTAATTCTGTGAAATATAAATTGCCTAAAGCTAAAGGTGTATTACAGACACTGTTATGTTTTATATTCCTGATGCGAAGCCTGTAATTACCCACTGGCAGGTAGCAGCAGAGGGTGGAAGGAGGCGATGTGACAGTGGCATGTGGGGGTTCCCTTGGACAAGCTCTGGACTGCGAGCTGACTTGTGGAGGTTGTGCTGGCCAGGTGATTTTGCTACCGTCCATGTATCTGACAGGGCAAACTTCTGCAGCATTAAGCTGTTGCGTTTTGGGGTTTTTTTGTTTTTGTTTTTTTTTTTTTTCAAATGCACTTCATGTTTCTGTTCTTTCTGGCTGGAGGGAGGTTCCTTCAGAGCAGGGCCTTGTTTGGCAAGGAGAGTTTGATGTCAGTGTTGAAGCAGTCAAGGTGTCAATGTGCAGAGGAGCTGCTGCCAGTGAGATTCAGTTTTGTCTCCTTGTCAAATAAAGGTTAGATGAGACATGGACCAAGGGAGCATCACCTTTGATAAAAACAGTAGTCACAGCACACATGCCAGAAACAGCTGGGCTGCATTAGTCAGGAAGATGTATTCACCCAGCATGGGCAGTGCTGACCCACCAAACATCGTTCTGGACTTCAGACGTGCATGGTGAACCATTGTGCCAGGGACACACCTTGTGGTAATGATGGCAGAAATGGAAAGTTTCTCTTTGGTAAGGAATGCCATCTTCACAACAGTTTCTGTAATTGAATTTGGAGTGATCTGAGGCTGCAAATAATTTCCCATGGGAAGATAAATTCTGAAATTTTCCATCTTGGAACATTAACACTCTTCCATATGAGGGGCCTACTAAAGGGGAAAGCCTGTACTCCTGAGAGCGGGACTTTGAACCACAAAGTGATGGTGCCTCTCCAGAAAGACCCCAGGGAACAACAACCTCCGAGGCAGAGTTTGGACTGGTGTCATGCTACCAGATCTTATCTCTCAATAGTAAGGAACCTAGAAGCCTTGACTGTGCTTATAGCATCCTTTAGGAATTCCCTTTGAGAACCGAGAGTGCAGACCCCTGGAGAAATTGCTGGACCTTCAGGTTCTCCACCTCAGCACAGTAACTGAGAAGGTGGAAGCCCTGACACCTGCATGGCAGAGCAGTTCTGGGACCCACATCTTGGGAAGCCTCCAGTGGTTGGCACTTCACCCTCTGAAGGACAGGAAGGCAAGTCACATCTACTCATGATGTCTATTACCTGGACATCCCAGATGTGTCTGTAGACTGCCTGGTCTTTAGGATCTCCCACAGTGAGCAACTCTTGAAGCAGTGGTTGTGGCTAGCATTGCTGGCTCTGAAAAAATTCTTTGAGCACCTTTCCTGGGACTAATTGCTTCTGCTTCATGCTGCCGAAGGGTTGTTTATGTAGGATGCTTTGTGGGTGGGATGTGGTTTGTTACTGTTCCATTGTAGGATTCTTTTCAGGCACTCTGCCCATTTATGATTAATTATGTTTTGAGTTCAGGCTCTGAAGGTGCTTTCAGGCATATGCCAGGTACCAGGAATGAAAGAGGTGCTGTTATCATCAAGGTACTTCAATGTAGTATCACATGTAATCAAAAGTGAATTAGTTAAAGCAGTGTGCAGATATAAGCCCTTGTAAGGTGAGTGTTCAAGCAACTCATGTGGTGCAGTTTAGGACTCAAGTTTTAGACTTTTCTAACCCTCTCCTCTCCTGGAGCAGTAGGCTCCAACACTGCTCTCAGCAGACAAACCTGTCCTGGAAGGGCCTCTTAATGGAACATTTCTGTTGAAACAGGCTGAGGAATGGTGTGCATTTGTTGATGTGGGTCCTTGCACCTTTTAGGGTTAATTTAGTTCTTGTGACCTATATGATAGCATAGCCTGGGATTTAATGCTTATTTGGGTTTCATCTGACTTAGGAGTGAGCAAAACCCATTGAAAATCTGTTGCTGTTCATGGCCCTACCATGATTAAACCTTCCTTTCTGCAGCACATTGTACCCTTGGCACGGGTGCCCTTCTCCACAGAGAAGACACTTGAATTTGCGTAGAGGAGGGGTTGACTGGATTGCAGGGTGGCCAGAGATCCCAAACGTTTGCCTAAAGCTATCTGTAACTGCAGTTGAACAAGAACAAACACAAACCCCCTCTTCCTTTTCATGAACCCAGAGGCAGTGGTGAATGTATGGCATGTGCTGCTAACATACGTGTGGGGGAGATCAGGTGTGGCAGAGCAGAACTGTGAGATTCAGATGATGAGGTGTTAAAGGGGGCGGACCTGATTCAGTGTTCTGAGTCTGCCAGAATTGGTGATGGCTGCACTGGAGCAGCAGTAACCTGTGCAAAGAGGCCTGGGAAGCAGGCAGCTGGGGGAAGTATGGGGGAAGTGGACTTGGACTTCCCTTGGAATATTGCTGGACTGCCAGGCATACCATCTTGCCTTGACTCATTTTTTCCAATATGTTTGAAAAGGTGAACTGACCCAAAACGCTCAGAGCACTAAGAAAAGGGGCACTTTTAATCCTCACATCGGTTTGAACCAAGCTCACAACTTTGTGAGCTTCAACTCTGTGGTTTGGATGGGGCAGAGAGAGGAAATGGTTAGATGCTAAAGCTGGAAGTGAACCAAAATTTAAAACATTCTGTGACATACTCCAGTATTAGTGTGCTGCCTTTGTCTCTCAAGCTACTTTAGTTTACTGGTGGAGAAGGTTGAAAGGTGATTCATTCATAGTTTACACGTACCTAAAAAGGGAAGAGGTTTCTGGTTGCTAGATGGGATTCAAATTTACCAGAGAATGATCCGTTGGCAGTAAGCCAAAGTTGAGGCAGTTCAGGTTAGGAGGAAGGGCTGCAGTTTAAACAATAAGAACAAAAAGCAGGGGAAGCTCTTGGGCTGGCATTCAGCAGGCTCATCATCAGCTAATGGCTGTAAATGAGGATTTCTGTTTCTCTGAGGGCCTGCCTGTTGGGGAATGTGGTGCAAGTTACTACTGGTGGCCAAGAGTAGAAGATGCAAGAGAGCCATGCATCGGTTTGGATGAGATGTATTGCACACAGTGGGAAGGAACTGAGAAGTAGAGATCTTGGAAAGTTTCTTGCTCTTCCTTAGTCTCATCCTTCAGTGGTCTCTGGGTTTTGGGGCTTTGCACTGCTCTCACCAGCATTTTCTCTGGAGAGGGTCAGGGTTGGCCCGTCTCTCCCAGGCTGTGCTGCCTGCTTCACAATGCTGCAGGCCGCCAGCCTGGAACTAATGTGAAGCAGATGCACCAATGCCAAGGTCGGGACCTTACCAGTATTTAAAGCACGTGTATGGAGTTGGCATGGAACACGGTGACCTCAGTGTACAATAGCAGCCAACCGACACACACATTCAGACAGAATAAATATTTGACAGCCTATTTCTCTATTCCCCAAAATGACCCCTATAAAAACAAGGTCCTGTTTACCTTCCTGATTCTCTGTGCATGGTATTCTGAGAAGAGACAAGCTCTCCTCTCCATTCATTGCCTTCCTGTTCTTTTGGGTGAACCTGTTTCCAGGCAAGGATCAGGGATATTGGCTTGGCAAAACCCACGGCACCTCGGAGTTTCGCAGAAGTTCTGAAATGTGGGGACAGCTGAGATTTGTTTTATTCAGAAGTCTCTTTCTCTGTGCCAAAGCACAGTGGCCTGGGGAGCGGTGCAAGACTGGTGTTCAGCCTAAAGCAAATGCCTGTAGCTGTTTATGGCATTTTTCTTCTGCTGTTTTTGCCCCATTAATACATGCAGCCTTCCCCATCCTTCTTCCTCTGGCACAGATTTCCAGGGAGACTGCAGCAGGCTTGGATGTGCAGAAATAACAGGAGAGAAAACTATGTGGTGTGGCTCTCAGTGTGCTAAACATGCCTCCTTTACATCCCTTATATAGTGAGAGGAGACACAGAGATTACAAAATAGTGATCTCTCTAATGAAACCCATCAGATTCCTCCTCCTTTTGTTGTTGTCCCATATCACAAAATCAGAATGCAGTAGGCAGCTAAAAGAAAACTCATGAACATAAGTCAGAGGAAACACTTGATCTCTGACACATCTTAGACAAGAGGAAACCATTGTTGGCAATATTCTTAAGGCAAAACCAGGAACTTGGTGTTTACTTTTTTAAGGTTAGATAAAAAAATGAAAAAGGAGATAGAAAAATTGCAAGCCTTCTAATCCACGCATGTCAGGTATAATATAAAGCCTGGCAGAAATTGATAAAGAGAACTCTCTCCTTCTCTCTCTTTCTCTGTATCTCAATCTCTCTCCTGCCTGATGTTCCAGGTACATGGTAAAATCCCCTTTCTTAAACATGCAGGAAAGCTCACATGCAGAGCCCAACCTGACGCTACAAGTCCTAATGCTTTTTCAAGTGCTTTTATTCTTTCACCTTTCTATCTGTGACCCAGGGAAGTGCTGTCCCTCCCTTCTTGTCCTTTACATGTGTAGGTTTTCATGTTGCTCTTCCTTGTGACTGTTGCTTTTGCTGGTGATGCTGTCATGCTGAATGGCTGTCTGTTTTGGCAGCTTTCCCTGGGGATGGTTCAGTAGGATGGCAGCGTGTGTTGCAGTGGCAGTAATCACAGAGGTGTTGGTAATTGTTGTCAGCAAAGGCAGGATGCGGGGAAAAACAGTCTCCAAAGAGCTTGAGCTTCTGCATCCTGCATTTGGACAGTCCTTGTGGGGAGAGCAAGGAAGCGTGTGGGGCTGCCTGTGTATGGGCAGCTGCAGTGCCATCACATCTGGCCATGTGGAGCTGAGCGAGGAGGGAGCTGTGTGCTGGGCACCTCGTGCCAGCCAGTGTTTGTGACCCCCAGTGAAAGCTGGGAGCAGTGAAACTGTCGTGCAGCAGTGGGGACAGCACACACATTTCGGATGGATTCTGGGTGGGCTGGCATCACGCATGTACCTCTGACAAAGATGAGTTTCACACTGTCTGGTTTCTCTTTTTGTAGCTGTCCCTCCCAAACTGAAGAAACTGAAAAGCCCAAACGTGCACGTTGGTGAAAAGATCTCACTGAAATGTGAGGCGACTGCTGGCAACCCTCAGCCATCCTACAAATGGTTTAAAGATGGCAAAGAGCTGAAGAAGAGCAAAGACATCCGGATCAAGTATGGGAATGGGAAGTAAGTATGCTATGGGGCTGCCCTGCCCTCTAACTAACGCTGAGTTTGGGTCTTGGGGAGCAGCCCTGCAAACTTCCCAGCTTGCTCCGTGTGGTGCTGAGCTCCCAAGCAAATGCAAAACGGGCAGGGGAGCTGGGTCAGATGGACAGGCATGGCAGGGCTGGGAGGTTTGATGGATCATCAGGACCGAAACAGTCTGAGAAAGATGTTTGTATTGGGAAACCAGTGCCTATTCAGGCAGCTCTGTGGATAGGCCCTATTGCAGGTTGTAACTGAAGTGGCCATTCACCTTTTATGTCAAGCCAAGGATCTGCGTGCCTTATTTTTCTTGGTGGTTTCTTCTGGGGTTATGCTGCAAAATCCAACAGGTAATTGAGAGATGGGAAACAGCTGCAGGGACAGGAAGCAGAGTGGGGATGGGTTGAGGTTGGACTAGATGATCTCAGACTCTGCCTTTTCCAACCTTAATGATTCTGTGAACCAGGGAAAAGGGGCTCCCACTGCACTTTCATTTAAATCAATCCATGTTTTTTTTTTCAAGGCCAAATATTTACATATGATATATCCTAAAGTCATTCTGTAATTGTGACTGTGCTTATATTCATATATCCTGACCTAGCCAGCAACAAAGTCAGCTTGCAACTGCCTGATCCCTTGGAAATGTTAAAACTAATTTTATGCCAACATATGTTATGCCTCAGTGTGTGAAAAATAGCTCATCTATTCTCATCACGCAGTTGACAGAGTATTTGCTTTTATAATTAGAAATTCTTCAAATGCTCAAATGGGTCATTGTCAATTGCTCTCATTTCACTGAAATACTGTTAGCTTTGATTTTAAAGGCACGTCCCAAATGTCCGGTGTAGAATGGTGACAGGATGGCATCCCACCCACAGCAGCACCCACCCAGTCCCCGGGTCAGGGACACCAATGGGGAAGAACAACCTTAAAACACGGTTGTCAAGTCATAACTTGGCATTTCCTAGTTTCCATGGCAGTACGTTGGCTCGCAGCCTGCCTGTGACAGGCCAAAGCCATGTGCGTGTTAGAAGTGCTTCCTGCTGGCATAATAAGCCTGAGGATAAACATCTTAAAGAAAGCTGAGCACCTGGCTCTGCCTGCACCTGCGTCTCTCCTGGTGGCAAAGGTCTGAGCCCTGAGGTGTCCCTGCTCATCTGCTCCCCATCCCAGACCAGGAGCTGGGCAGCATAGAGGCCAGACCCTGCAGCCGCTGGGCTGAGGCTGCTCTGATGAGGTGCTCCTTATCCCTTGTGCAGCAGGCAGCAGCGGGTTTGCTAGCTCTCAGTACCTGAAAATAGAGAGCAGGATGATAATGGTGTTGGACCTTCCTCCTTCTGGACCTGGGTGCATGCAGAAGAGTACGTTAAAAATTGCTCTGTGCTGATGCAGTTTGAGGATCAGAAGAGTCTTTGGGAATCTGTGTTTCTTCATTAAGTAGCAAATGGGGATGAGCAGCAGAGGGAAACAAAGCTGGGCATGGGAGATGAGTGCACATCATTACCGCCAGCATGTTAGGAGAAGCTTCCCAAACTGTGAAGCTGAGAAAAGAAGACTTACTAGATGGTGATTAATACACAAAAATTGAGGTTTGCACCTGGCTCCAATTAGAGATAAGATTGGTCTCAAGGTAATCCTTTGCTCTTTCTTACAGTGAAGAGTAGAGTGAGGCTTCCAAAGGGCTAAACCTGAACACTGGGAAGGGACTTTCATCAGGAAAGCACAAAAGACAAAAATCTTCACAGACCATGTGACACGTGCACCTGGGCATGTGATCATTTATTTAAAAATTTGATCCAAAGACCTAATTGAGTTGTCTGCTGCAGGCAGGAGGAGGTGTTGTCCATAGCATGTCCCTTGGCCATGTGAATCCTGTGCAGAGGTGGGCACAGCTTTGGATTTGATTCTTTACCTGCAGCTCTGTGGTCCTTAGACAACATGTGGAGGATTAGGATGGGAGACAAGAACATAAGAGCATGAAATGGCTCATGCCTTTACCACTGTTTGCCTCACTTTCCTCCCTGCAGAATGGAGCTTCCCTGTGTGTGTAGAGAGCCTCAGCATCTGTAGCTAGAAAGATGAACTGAAGCCCTCCTAGATGTGATCAAGTTTTTATCTGATTCTACTGCCCTTCCTAGAGCTGAAGAATAAGGGAAGTATATGTTATAAGGAGAAGAGGAGCAGTTAACTGCATGTCACTCTTCAGTTTTTCCATCAATCCTCTTTCCTCTTGTTTTTCAAACTTAGCGGCAAACTTTCTGGTACCATCTAACAAGGCAGGTTTTTGTTCCTTTTTTTTTCTTTTTTTTTTTCCAATGGGTATTTGCTGGAGGGAGGGGAACAATTCTGATTCCTCCTTTCTGAACTGTGTGTTCCATCTGTAATTAGTAACAGGCTGGGGCAAGCCTGGCTTGCACGGAGAGGAAATTTCTCGTTAAGGTGGAAGAAATTAGTGGCTGGAGTTTTATCTCCTGCTCAATTTAAATAAAGCACAGTTGATAGGGACCTTGAGAAATTACCCAGAAAGAACTGCGTTCCATAGTGAAAGTAAAGCATAGTGTCTGGCCCACCCCTTCCGAGCTGCCAGAGGGATAGCATTTCCTGTGAGTGCACCTGAGATGGATTGAGGCCACTGAGAGCCAAGAAGTTAAGGTTGAGTTTTGACTCTCAAACTGTCCTGGCAAATGGTCAGATGACAACTTCAGAGAGAGCCGGGGGACTTTCTGTGTGCTGACGTTTAGGGACACTACCCAACTTCAGGGTGCACTCAGGGCTCTACCCTGAAACATGCAGACTGTGCGCTGAAACCAGAGGGATATGGTCTGAGAGCGTGGCAGGCTGCTTGCTGTCCTTACAGCCTCTTTTCTTTGTGTGCTCTCTTACCAAGAGACATTGCTGGGTGATACAGTAGGCGTATCATTAGATTGGAGAGGGCTGGCAGTTCAGTTTGGGACAGGCTGACCATATGACATCCCTTGGGAGTAGTGTCCTACTTTCAGTATCACCAGGAATCCCTATTGTTAGCCTATAAGTGGAGCCAAGGGATGCCCTCCTCTCCTGTTTCTGTACAGTAGTCCCCGAGGCCATGCTAGCTGGGGCAGATTCATTGCTGGGGTCTTCCTTGTAGAACTCCCTGCTGTAGATTATTCCCCACCCACAATGAATGGGGCTGTGGTCTTCCCTGTGCAGCTCACTGCTCTGGAATGAGGGCAAAAAATAATAATAATGCCAAAGCAGCAGGGGAAAGAGAGTGCCAATAAAGATAAATGATTTCTTAATTAAGCCTGGAGACAAGGAGGGGCAAAGAGAACTGTTGAAGCCTTGTGGGAGCCAGAGTGAACCCAAGCAGGCTATACCACCACTCTGGCAGGGGTCTTCAGCCTGACATTTTTAAACAAAGGAAAAAGCTCACTTGACAATGGATCTTGCAAGAACAATTCCAGATGCCTTAAAGCTAAGACTCTTCTTGAGCACCGGTGTTGTTATAATCACCAGGGGAGCTTCTCTCTTGCTAACTCTCACGATGTCATTATAAGTCCCCAATACTTGGGATTTGGTTTAGCTGCTGATGGCACTTTATTGGAGGGGGTGTGAAAGAGAGTATCTCCTTTGTTTGCCTGTTTTTTGTTTTAAAGGAGATGATGGACATCATTTTGGCCAACGCACCTGGGACTCAACCAGGGAACTTGAGAACTGAAAAGAGAAGCAGTTGGGTCTTGAGCTAGAACAATACACAAAGCCTGCAAGTTGGGGCTCATGAGAGATTCAGGGAATGGGCATTCGATCAAGCATGAGTGAGTTATAGTGACTAACAAGTTATGGCCAGATGCTGAGCGGCTTCAACTGATGGTGTATGCAAACATAGGCATGGAAGGAAGCTTATATGCCTGAAATTTTGTCTCTTTTTTTTCCAGTGATGTTGGCTGGTTAAAAAAAAAAAATCCTCTCCCTATCTAATCTTAGTCCCTTGCAGCTGCACAGTGCCACGGCTGGAACACTCTCACTGAAACATCAATTGAAATCCCATTCATCCAGCTTAATGCTTTACCTGGCATCGGGGGAAGATTGGCTGGGGTGGTGGCAGAAGCCGCAGGCAGTTCATCTGGTATAGCACATTGTATACCTACAGTCATGAATTTGTTTGGTTCTCCTTATATGTCATGGATCAGGCACTGGCAAGGATCCGTGGCACATGGTAACTGCAGAAAAAAAAAAAAAGACTTAAGAAGAAATTAATGATGTTCCAAATGCTCCAGACTCAGAAAGGAGCCTCAAAACTGTAACTGAATCTCTTGTACAACCCTGTGTAATATAATAATGATACACTTCACAGAGATTTTGAAGTCTGTCCATCCAAAAGTGCCGTTCCATGCTGCTTTTCCATGACCTTACGTCTATCCCTGAGAGGCATGCGTATCTCTGATCTAAGTACTTCCAGCCTAGCTTTGCTCGTTTCCATTCCTGTGTGCAGAGAAGGGCTTCCACCAAAGACCGCTGCTTTTAGTATGGCACCTCTCTTCCTACCTCCCCTGATTTAAAAACTGCCTACTTTTGCTCTAAAGGCTCTCTCTGGCCTTCCTCCCATGTCTGGCAATCCTTGACATTTTAGTCCTATCTCTGAATTGCCCATCCTATCAGCTTCCATCTGACATGTGATACCCTTCCAAATGAGGACCTCTGTGCTTTCCCCCCCTGAAGCACCAACCCTTTCTTCTGCTCCCAGCTACAGAAATAGCTGTAGTTCTGTTGCTGATGTAGTTGAGGCCTCTGCATACTGTCCTAACTGCATCCGTACCTGAGGTTTCCTGTCTATTTAGGTATTTGCTTTTTGAACAGGGAGGTGTCTGTTCTATGTTTAGTACTGTGAGGTCCCTGGCTCCTGGGAGGCTGCTAGCATGCATGCGAGATGTCATAACAAAGAGGGAAAGAGCCTGCTCTGAGCTGCTCTGTGATCTACATTCTCCCAAAATGAATTCAAATCC